GCAACCCAAGTTACAAATGATACAAATAGAGTTCGAAAATTAAAAAATGGAAGAAGAGGAAAACATTACACAATTTAGTGCAAGAGTCTTAGAAATTGCCGGAGATGCATTCAACTTAGGTGAACCTATTCATGAACATAGGCTCGTCAAAAAGGTTCTACGCTCTCTACCTGAGAGATTCATGATAAAAGTTACAGCCATCCAAGAAAACAAAGATCTAAACACCTACAAACTCAGTGATTTGATGGGAAATCTTCAAAGATATGAGCTTGAGATATTACAAATCAAGAAAAATAAAGAAATTGCGTTCAAATCAAATCAGGAAGAGAGTTCAGAAATTGATATCGACGCCGTAGAGCAGTCAATTGCTCTCTTAACAAAGAACTTCAACAGAGTTCTTAAGAAATTCAACAGGTTTAGGAACAAAAAACCTTTGAATAATCAAGGGAGCTTCACACCTGGACAAAACCAGCCTACTACAAAAAGAAGAGATAACCAAAATCCTGAATGGTACAGTGCTATGAGTGCAAAGGGTTTGGACACATTCAGTTCGAGTGTCCAGCATATCTAAAAATGAAGAATAAGACCTATGTGACACCCCTAAGTGATGACTCAGATAGTAAAGAAGATACCAACACTAATTTTGTAGCCTTCACAGCATGTCACAAAGATGATGAAGAAACCGGAGATGATCTATGTGAACTACTAGAGTCTTATACTCAACTGCACGCAAAATGGGAACAGATCATCCAAGTAAATCTAGGTTTCATGCAAGAAAATCGGTTTCTAAAAACCGAAAACGAGAGAAAGGAAAAACTCCTCAAAGAGGCTCAAGAAGAACTAATAGAAACACAAAAACGAGAAGCCAAGTTAATACATGAAGATAAAGTGCTCATAGAAAGGCCTAAGTCACCAGTCATAGCATCGGATGAAAGTTATACAACTGAAAATCTTGAAGTGTCACAACATCACTTTCGACATCGAAGGAGAATCAAATGTTACTACTGTCACAGGCTAGGTCACATAAAAGCATACTGTTATAAGAGGCAAAATGATCTTCAATATAGGCAAAACTGCAGAGCTTGGGAAGACCAGAATAAACATGTTAACAAGAAAGTATGGGTAAGAAAGGAACAAACACAAGTTATCGCGTATACCTAAAAAACAAGCCAAGAACAAAGTGTTTGGTATTTTGACAGCGGATGTTCAAGACATATGACAGGAAATCCACATTATCTTGAGAACATCTAGTACAAAAATGAAGGGCATGTCACTTTTGGAGATGGAGGAAAAAGGACAGATTATCGCAAGAGGTACCTTGAATGTCCATGGACTGCCCAGATTACCAAGAGTCTTTTTGGTACAAGGACTCAAAGCAAAATTTATCAATATAAGTCAACTGTGTGATGATGAACTCAAAATAGAATTTTCCAAAGAGAATTGTAAAGTCTACAACCAAAGACATGAATGTGTTATAATGGGAAAAAGATCATCTGATAAAAGCTACACTTGGGATGGCGATCTAACCTGTCATTAATCTACCATAAATCAAACGCCATTGTGGCACCAACTAAGGGGGAGAAATACAGAGATTAAGGTTTTTGCCAAAAATTTGAGAAAAATGGATAGTGTTGACTCAAAGTATTTTGTCAAAGTTATGTGCAAAAAGAATTCCAGTTCTATAAAGGAATACCAGTCTTAAGAGGAATAGTTATTGAAGAATACTGGTTTTAAGGGGATTTGTTGTTGAAGATTTTCTAGTTCTATTTTGATTAGGAATAGCTTTGTTATTCACGAATCTGTTAGGAGTAGCTACTATAAATAGGGGTTGTCATTTATTGCAGATCTCACGCATTCAACATTAATCTTGTGAGGTAGGAGAGTCTTTGAGAATAAGATACTAAATTCCCCTAGAAAGTAGTACATGTGTTTATGTTTCAATAGTTTGATAAGGAATATCTTTCTATTGTGTAATCTTAGGTTCCAAACAGTGAACTTTAAGTATAGAGCTTTTAGTGGATTTAGGCAAATTCTGAAATTGAGAAGTGCCTCGCAGATTAGGTTGTTTGTCCGAACTGCGTTACAGATTGTCTGTGTTACAATTTCAGTTTCGACATCACTGTATGCTGCGCTTTACAAATTTCAGTATACTTGAATTATAATACATTAATTAATATGTTTACTAATTTGATTAAATAAATTTTTTTTATTACTGTTCATAGTTATTAGTGTTGGTTTGAATTTGTTGTTGAATAGATAGGTTTAATTAGGTGTTATTAATTTTGTAAATTTTGTGTGAATTTGAAAAATTCTGTACATGTACATGTTTTATTTTGAGCAAATAAAATCAGAGAAATATTGCATTTTTAAATAAAATTGAAAAAAAATATATAAGTTTTCGCGACACCCTCTTCAAAGAGGGTGCCGCAGATACATTTAATTAAAAAAATAAAAAAAAATGCTTTTCGCGACACCCACCTGTGTGTGGGTGTCGTGGATAGTATTTAATAATAAAATATTAAATAACTTTCCGAGGTACCTGTGACGTAGCAGGTGCCTCGGAAAGTCTCTATTAAAAAAAAATAAAAAATCCTTATTTAGCTTTCCGCGACACCCTATATGGGTGCCTCGAAAAGCTAAACACTTTCAGAGGATCTAGAATCCGAGTCACCTGTACAGGTGACTCGGAAAGTGTTTTATAGGTGACTCAGAAAGTGTTTTTTGTACTAGTGTTCTCTAAAAGCCGTCAAACTTTTAGCAAGTTGTGCTTCATTTGGGGTCTTTGCACTAACATGAAATGCACATCCCTTTCCAAGACATTCTACCCTAACATACTTTAACCCATTTTTTTCCAAAATAAATCCATCTTTGTGTGTACAACATAACTTATCATAGCAAGCTTGAATTGCAAATTATCATCAAAGTGCATACCTAATTCAACACATTATGGATCAGATTTAGGATTGTACCTGGAGTACTTATCATTGTACTTTGACTACACTTTGTTCCCTTCATTATTCTGCAATTCTTCTTCAACTGTAGGTGGATCTTCAGAATCATAATACTAAAAATCTTGTGGATCTTCTAAAGGAATATCTAGTGGCACATATTAGGGTACAGTTTCATCCTAAACTCCTCCTCTTCTTTTTCTTTTATCCCTACCTTGATTTGTATTTGTATTATGCTCCCTCTCACTGTCTTTCTCTTGACCACCCTCACTCTCAGTCCCCTGGTCACTGTCAGTGCTTAAGTCAGTCTCCTGCTCACTTTGATAGTCACTCTCACTTTCTAATTCACTCCCATGTGCCTCAACTTGACTCCCATGCTCACTCCCTAATTCAGTCTCAACCTCATGCTCAGCTAGAACTTCACCCCCTTCAAGCCCAGATAAACTTAAACCAATCACTTGAGGCTCATCTACCACATGCATGTTCAACATAAATTTCTGTCTTTTTATTTTGACGTGCAAGCTGAGCTAAGTGTAGATTACTAGCATCATTATCTAATAGCCTTAAAGATTTAAATGGCTCAAAGGTTAACTTATAAGTGATGTTATTTTCCCATACCTTTGGTCTACTATGTACTTCACTAAATGGGGATAACATATGAAGGGTCAATACGCACAACATCAATCTCAACATTCACATATTGGAACATAAGATTTTGCACGAAATTACCACCATAGTGAATTATTAATTCCACACAATCGTTCATCCTAACAAAAACACATATTCAAAGCACATTTTAAACATAACAACATAAATGACCACACTCTGTTTCAAAAAGAAAAAAAAAAAAAAAAAAAAAAAACCAAAAATCATACCGTCATTTTCACTTTATACAATTTATACACACATATGCAACAAAACCAACATAGCAGGAGTGTAGGACCACACTTTAAACATACATTTTCAACAAAAAGCAGCATAGCAGGACCCCACTACATCAAACTCATGCACATATAATATTCGCAACAGGACCACACTACATCAACATGATAACCATATATTATTCACAGTATAACCACACTACATCAACATCATGAACCCTATCATATATGCCACAATCCCACCAAACACCACAATATAAAAAACATTAAGAGTAACACAATCCCACCAAATACCACAAAAACCAAAGTTTGGTCTACATACCTTACGTTCTCGGCCTCGTCTTTTCTTCCTTGATTTCTCAGTCGCGCATTCGGCTCTTCCTCGGATTATTTTTTGCCGCCTTCCAGTATGTCGCCTTCCTCGGATTATTGTTCATCGAATTTCAGACCATTGATGATTTGGGATTAGGGTTGCGTATGGAGATTCGGGATGGGGATCAGCGTAGAGCGATTTGGGGATTATTATTCGTCGACAGGTTTTAATTCTTTTACGCAAAACATGTCGCCGTTTTTTTTTTTTTTTTTTTTTTTTTTTTTTTTTTTTTTTTTTGGGTTTGAATGAAAACAAATAAATTGCTGCAATGTAAAGTTAAAATTTTATTTATTAAACGCGTCAATAACAAGTAATGTCCACATAAGCTTAATACCGGAGCCATGTCATTAGGAAAACTGGTTTAACTTGTAAAAAGTTCTTGGTCAAAAAAAAAAAATGATTTGTGAATCGCAATATACATTATGAAATGTCAAGATGCAGCATAATGAATAATCTGTTATAGTTAATATTGCGGGATGACACTTTTGCCTTAGTTATATGTTACTCCGTAGTATGTTAGTGTATCAAATATATTATTGGCATATGGATTGATACATGGATTGTTATTACGAAAAGAAAGCAACTACGGAGACCTTATCTATTCCATGAGAGTTTATTCCAAACCAAATTAATTAAAGCGTAAAACAGAAAACAAAGCAAATAAGAAAGATTATATTACAAGAGTCACTCTTTATTTTGAATCGCAACACACAACAAAAAACATGAAAATTAAACAAATACTAGACATCACTCTTTATTCAAACTAGAACATAAAACAAAAAACATAAAACATTTTAAGCAACACTGTCACACTACTGATGAAGATCATGAACTTAATCATATCCGTTTTCAAATTCACAGGATCGGATTAATCAATGTGGAGGTAATAAAGTCCTTCAACTTGGTTTTGGAATGTGTATATGAATCTCCATCATTGTATAGCGAATCCATAATTCTTGCTAAATTTAGAACTCGGATAAGTATAGGCATAGGAACAATTGTCGGTTTAAGACATTGTTGATTAATGTCTTTCCATGCATTAGTGACTTGTTCTAAGAGCTCGAGAGTGGTCTCTTCTTTTGATTTTCCATATTCTTTCATATAGATTTCCACAGACGAATCTAAGTGTCCTCTTTGGTGTTCAAACTATACAAATAGTACAAAAAACAGAATTATATTAATAAATTTCTGATAAGGCATAATAAATAAAATATATTGATAAAGAATATATTGTCGTTAAAGATTAAAATTAAAACCAATCGAGCATCTTTAAATTAGTATGAAGTTGTAACTATTTTCAGTGGAAGGAAATAAAAAATTCCATCATATAATAAGTCAAATTATAACAATAGGAGTACTGGATATGGGTCATGCTATTATTACCTCATGTCCAGCAATATCATCCATCAATCTGCATATAATCACAGCCGATCGAACAGTTAAAGCTTCATTATCCACCCAATGGAACACATCTTTAGTTACAAAATCTTCTTGCATGCCTACCAAAGATGCTGTCGTTATCATTTGATAACCACACGTTACGGTTGCAAGTTTCATGTATTCCTCAAATGTTGGATTGCAACCATCAAGGTACCACTTGGCTTCTTCAAGATATGCTCCCACTGCTTTTTTCATCTAAAATCGTATGGAAATATTTTTTATTTTTTTTTTAATTCATAATAGTTGTTTTGGTTATAAAAAAAAAAAAAAGGTATGCAAAGTACACCTATATTGGATAAACATTTATTAGTACCTCCGCTTTGGCATAATTCACACGGTATGATTGCCCATTATCAGATAATTCTTTCTCCATTTCAGCATAAACATCAAGAAGGTACATATAGGGATGCCTCATATATTCTGGTAATTCAATTAAAGCACTAGCATCCCATCTGCATTGCAAATTAAAAGTTATTTATTTATTTTTAAAATTAATTGAACAGTAGTCTTTCAGCTATTATATATATATATATATATATATATATATATATATATATATATATATATATATATACACCAAAGCTTCAATTAATCAAGAATGATATATAAAGTAATTTGGACCTTTGGACTGCATCATTGAAAAGCTTGAGCTCATCAGGAGTTCCATAAACATCGTAAATATCATCAATAATTGAAGTCATACTAAAAACTTTAAGAAGAAACTTCCTTGCAAGAGAATATTTTGGTTCAAAATACACTCCCAATATCCAAAAGTAGCCTTCCACCAATCTATCTCGTGCAAAAGACAATTTATTTGGGACATCTAATCCTTTCCACCACCTAGATTACAATGAATATAGAAATTGTTAGTTGGTGAAAAGAATTATCTTCCCCCATTTCATATGTCATTGACACATTTGAAATTACATACACATTAATTAAACATCACAAAATTATGGCCCTATTTGCTAACATAGTTAGCTTATCAGTCAATTTTGGCTTATTTGACCACTCTTAGCTGTTTGGCTTGGTTAAACATCAATACAAGTGTTTGATTAATTAGTTTTTTGTAACAACTTATTACTCCAAAATGTTAAAATTTTAAAAAGTTGTTCAAAGCGATTTTTCGATAAGCTTTTTGAGAAAGCCATTTTTATGTAATTAATCAGCTATCAGCTAACAGCTAATTTACCAAACATCTTTCTACAATCAGTTAATGCTATCAACTACTCAAACTCACTAACTCAATCAGCTAACAACTAACAACTGTTTACCAAACACCACTATATGAATTTAAGAGTAATATTTGTGACAAAGATCATATGAGATAATGTATACCCTTGATTTTTTTTTTAATATCGTTAAAAAATTGTCATAATTAAGTTATTTATTTAGAGTTAATCAACGATTTGGTCCCTCAATTATTAACGAACAGTCAATGTAGTCCCTCAATTGCTAATTCATCGATTTGGTCCCCGAAAATAATTGTTTTAGTCGATATAGTCCCTGCGGCCGTCAATTTGGTCCCCAAAAATGATTAGTTTTAGTCGATTTAGTCCCTCCGACCATCGACTGAAGACGGCCTGAGGGACTAAATCGACTAAAAATAATTGTTTTCGAGGACCAAATCGATGAATAAGCAATTGAGGGACTACATTGACAGTTCGATAATAATTGAGGGACCAAACCATTGATTAACTCGGAAAAGAATATAGCAAATTAAATGGGAAAGATTAAGGGAGCACATATTTTTGCAAAAAGTAGCACATTCATATAGCTCCAAATTAAAGCTTTACCTGGTAAGACAACCAAGCTCCCTTTGATGTTCCTTTTGTAACAAGTTGAAGTCCAATTTTGCAAATTTCAGCAATAAAGCATCTGTTGTTCCATTTGGCTCAAAAGTTGATATGAATTTTTGTGCGTCAAGCCTTATTAATCTCTTTCGAATCGGCTGCTTTAGTGCTTCACTAACTTGTGATCTAAGAATATTGTTCAAGTTTGGTAGTATGGATTCTAGGTGAGAAGTGGTAAATGTCAACGCTTCTTCTAAAACTTGCTCCCCATGAACCCTAAGATGTGATGCTTCGTACAAGCTCAACAGTGCTGGAACATTGTTGATCAATGATTCCTTGAACTTTCCATTACAATCCATAAATTTTTCAAACACATCTGTTGAAATTTTGATGATGAGTCAAAAAATTTAATTAAAACTTACAATCTCACCTGTTTATTTAATCAGTTCACATAATTAATTCCTTAGTAATTTTTCCTTTTCATTTTATGTATATAGTTTAGTTAACTTGGCTTAACTCTATTTATTTATAATTTATTTTTTTAATACTTACTTATCTTTAGCGTATAAAATTTGCATCTTTAGAATCTACATCAAAGAAGTTATTGAGTACAAAAAAAAAAAAAACAAAAAAAAAAAAAAAAACCTTAAAAGAAAATAAGTGAATAAAATGAGATCGAGTAATTGGTTTAACTGAGAAAATGATCAAATAAACCTCAAATTATTTAAAAAAGTTTAGTTGCATCTTAGAACTTTAAAAACCTTAAAATATACCATGAACCAGTATTACAAAAATCCCGCCTAGGTAGCGCTTGGTCGCGTAGAGAAACGTCGAAATTGGCCTCCTCCGTGGCCGGCCGCCTAGGCGGTCGAATCCCCACCCCCCACCCCTTTTTTTTTTTTTTTTTTTTGTTTTTTTTTTTGCGAATAACCCCCTAAAATTTTTTTAAAAAAATTGGGCGCCTAGCGTCTTTTTCAACGTCATGAACTCAATAAAATGGTGCGATAAGCACCTTTTTTTTTACTTGAAATAAAACTAATATATATGTGTGTGTGTGTTTATGTATGTATGTAATATATATATATATATATATATATATATATATATATATATATATATATATATAGAGAGAGAGAGAGAGAGAGAGAGAGATTGCCATTTACTTGTCTGAAAAAATCACTGCACGACTGCACCGGTAAGGGTCGCCGCACCTAAACTCGACTCTCTCTCTCTCTCTATATATATGTATATATAGAGAGAGAGATTGCCATTTACTTTGTTGATGTTTTTTTTTTTTTTTTTTTTTTTTTTTAAATTAACAAAAAATAATATTGTTTTCTTTTTCAGTTTTGGTCTGTAAAACAATATGTACAACCCTGGAGTAAATGGAGTAATATTTTAATGTACACTTACTAGCAGACACGTGATACCCTTCTTGTCTAAGTAGTCGAAAGCACAAAGAGACAATATAAAGGTCCCTCTCATCGTCCTCAGCATTGAATTCATCGTATGCCTTGAATATGTGTTCCAATGAAGCTTCAATCTCCTTTTCAAATTGATAATGGACTCCTAAGCGTTGAATTTTGTTAATCAAGTCTAATTTTTTGAAAGAGGTGTCTGGGACTTCCACAAGCATGTTTTTCAGCTCTTCTTTCAATTGTTGGTGCTCTAGCCATTCTTGTGTATTCACTTCCTAGACATACAACAATTTATGTTCTTTACAAAGTATTATTGCAAAAAAAATATGTTAGATCAATCAACGCTAAGGGCGCTCTTTAATATATGTTAGATCTAAAAAAAATATGTTAGATCAATCAATGTATTCAATCAACGCACACACACTTACACGCATGCATGCTCTCTCTCTCTCTCTCTCACACACACACACATATGTTCGTGCATCTATAAGAATTGTGGAAAAGTTTTAGTTGTCCATCTTGTGGATCTAATGATTGAAAATTGAAAAAAAATAAAATAGTGACACTTTCATAAATATTACAAAATTTAAATATTTATAAAATTGACATTGCCCCACTTAGTTCTTCCAAAAGGTTGAACCCCAACCCTAAGGCCCTCACACCCCGGCCCGACAGAGCATTTGGAAAGATATAAATCATGATAATTCAACTGAACATGAACCACAGAGGCTAGACCTTTGTTTACTGCGCGCCCCCTTAGTTCTAGTTTGACATAAATATTTGATCTATCTAACATGTAGTCAGGGGCGGATCCAGTGGCGGACCTAGTGTGGGGACTGTGGGGGCAGTGGGGGCAGCTGCCCCCACTCACCCCACCCCATATATAGCCCTTGTATGTATATATGTATATATAGTACATGTTTTCCATATAAATATAAGAAAACTAATAAAAATAAACAATAGGTGAGTTGGTTGAGTTGGTAGAGCTGTATTTTAAGTTAGGAAATGTCATTGGTTTGAACCCCTTGTCTCTCAATATAATTAGTGGGTTGTCTCTCAATATAATTAGTTTTTTAACTGCTTCTTTAATTTCTTCTGTCTGGCTTTCAACTGAGCTTCATTATTAATATATATATATATATATATATATATATATATATATATATATATATATATATATATATATATATATTAATAATGAGATGTGTAATTTATATGTGTTTTTTATTTGAATTATTTTATCAAATTAATTATGTTTCATATTTTGTTATGAATATTTTTATAAAATTTTAATATGTTTTATTTTTCGTTTATATTCAACAATATTTATGACTATATTTCTTAAGTGTTTCATTATTTTTCACACTATAATGTTTTACCCTCACTCAAAAAATTTTCTGGGTCCGCCACTGGACGGATCCAAAACCCAGGACATATAATATTAAATTTTAAAGAACAACCAACAAAACTACCTAAACATGTAGTTATTTACATATATACGTATCGTTTTTATATAAAAGTTACTGATTTATATATATATACATATATATAATATATATAAAAGGGGGTGGGAAGGGGTAAGGAAACAACTGCTCCCATTGCCCTCGCTATTGATCTGCCCTGCATGTAGTGTATGATAGGTGTTGGATACATTTTATAGGTATAACATATCAAAATACGTGCAACCTTTATTCTGTTATCCATCAAAACACAATAATTTTCCTACATATCAAAATACGTGCAACCTCAAGTGTTTATATATGTTACCTTGGGTTGAGAAGAATAAGTAAGGAAGTAATCTCCCCAAATGGTTGGATGAAAATTGGCAGAACGACGAGTAACTCCATCCAGCTGAGGAGGATTTGATGGAAGAGCTGATAAGAGTTGATTATTGCAAGCCATTACTGCTAAGAAGTATAGGAGAGACGAACAAGCTAAGTGTGATATGATTTGGGAGGTTAATTGCTCAACATTTATAGTAGAGCTTGCGTGCTCAAGCCTTACTATGTACTGGAAAAATCATTAGTTTGTATGGTAGTATTGCAAGATAACTGTCAATTAATTTTTTTGGAAAATAAGGTAGCATGTGTTTGAAATTTGGGGGAAGAAAAATGTCCTTTTTTTTGAAAAATAAGGTTGTGTTTGAAATTTGGGAGAAGATAACAGTCCATTTTTTTTGGAAAATAAGGTTGTGTTTGAAATTTGGGAAAAGATAACAGTCCTTTTTTTGGAAAATAAGGTTGTGTACTTGTGTTTGAAATTTGGGGGAAGAAAAATGTACTTTTTTTTGAAAAATAAGGTTGTGTTTGAAATTTGGGAGAAGTTAATGTAAGATCTAAATGTGATCTAACTATACAGAGAATAATCTACGAGAAACTTAACTCGTAGTAGCGGAAGCGGAAGCACTGTATATCTCCAGCCATGGTTGATATCTTGTTGTGTTGCCTCTTGAACGGTAGATCTGCAGAATAGGGTTAGCCGTTTTGTCTCATACTTGACTCAGAACCCTAGATGGTGTATTGGTATTTTCTGAGCAGTATGAGTACCATATTAAATCATGTATCTTGTATCCCATCAATACAAGCTTTATATAGGCACAATGGTGGAATACAGACTTAAACCTAAAGGTCCAACCCAACCAATTACTTAATGGGCCTAGTCCACTTGCACCACATAAGTAAGACCCATAATATATAATATATATTATACGGGAAAGTCTTACAGTCTCCCACTTGGTGGAAGTACTAGAACAATTCTCATCAAAGAACAAAACAAACGAATCATAGTAATATGTCCTCTACTGAATAAGTGAGTAATATCTCCTATGATCACATGCATTTTGATTCCCCAACTTGAATCCTTTATGAACAAACCCAACGTTTATTCTTGGTACCTTAAGGGATGTTTCTCAAAATAAAATATATATATGCGAAAACCATCCAAATTGTAGAAAAGAATACACTGTATGATCTCTAATATCCTTAAAAGCATGCCTTAAGTAGAGATCTCTTAATTAGCATAATGCTAACTATATATTCCATGACTTCTTTATATGTTAACATAAGTACTACCTCTAACGGCTAAGAGCTTGGAGTTGACACGTCTGTCACTCCCACTCATCAAAATAGCCAAAAGATAGTCAAGTCACAGAAGCATTCTAATAACTTAGACAATAAACCAAAACTCTAAGTCCATAAATTTGGAATCTTAAACATACACCATAACTTCCCAAATAATCTCAAGGTCCACTTTAAAATGAACTGAATATTATGAGTCTTACTTTTATATCTCTCAAAATTGTCTTGAGCCTTACAAACCAAAATGGCCCAGGATCAATTTTGAGGAAACTAAAGACTCTACTAAATGCTAAAGAATTTATTAAATAACAGTGCACCACAAGTTAAATGTTTTGTTCTAATAAACTCATTAATATTGTTACAACATTTTCATAAATATGTTGCACAACCAATATGAATTTATATGAACAAATACAAGATTAATACTTGTGGAATCTTTTGGACTTATTGTTTGACATACAATCCAATATGGGATGTATAAAGCAAATTAAATCCAAAATCTTTAGTGGAGTATCTTAATGATCCTTTTTCTAAATGATCACTCCCACTGATGAAGATATTCTTTAGTAAAATTAATGATATACATACTCATAATTGATTTGACCAACTAATTGATAAAGATATAATTCCCCACCATTAGTTGGGCATACTAAATAATCAATTTTGGTTCCAATTGAAGTCCAACTAAATAATGAAGATATTAATTTCCCACTATAGTTGGACATACTGAAGTAATAAAATACACTTTCTAAAACCATTTTTGGAATTTGGCTTGAAAGATACATTTTATTATTATTGGAATTCAAAAGAGGTATGTCAAATCACGTAACTTACTGCAGTTAGTCCGAAGAACCGAACAAGAATCGTGGATCAATTAATAAAAGTGGTTAAATTTTGGGAAGTAACTAAATACATGTTTTGCCAATGCAAACCATGAAACTTAGAATTATAATTGAACTAAATTTATTATAAATTCTAAGAAATTGTGATAAAAATATTATTTAGTAGGTTGTGGGATTTATTGACATAAAACTTGCCTGTAGGCTAAAGTTTTAATTCTATTAAATCCAATTAAACCCTTATGATAATATTTTATCTCAATTACTAAATGGACAGAAGAACCTAGTGACATAAAACTTGTCTGTGGGCTAAAGTTTCAATCGTTATGCGTTGGACCCGTGTCCAGCATGCTTGCTGGACACGGGTAACAGTGCCGTTAGGCACTGTTATCTCTTTTTTTTTTTTTTTTTTTTTTTTTTTTTTTTTTTTTTTAAATTTCAGACCGCTTCGTTATAGGAGTATATGCTCATAATTTTATTACTATATGTTAATAACTGTACATTCATAACTCCATAACTGTACGTTCATAACTCTATAACTGTACATTCATAACTCCATAATTGTACATTCATAACTCCATAACTGTACATTCATAACTCCATAATTGTACATTCATAATTTTCGAAGCTCTATGTTCACAATTTTAGAGCTCTATGTTCATAATTTTATCACTATATGTTCATAATTGTATGTTCATAATGTTAGAGCTCTTTGTTCATAATTCGATCAATAACTGTACATTCATAATTCCATACTGTAGATTCATAATCTCATAACTGTAGATTCATAACTCCATAACTGTAGATTCATAACTCTATAACTGTACATTCATAACTCCATAACTGTACATTCATAATCTTCGAAGCTCTATATTCACAATTTTAAAGCTCCATGGTCATAATTTTATCACTATATATGTTCATAATTGTAAGTTCATAATGTTAGAGCTCTGTGTTCATAATTTCATAATTGCATAACTGTACATTCATAACGGCATAACTGTACATTCATAATCCAAAAAAAAAAAAATAACGCCGTTAACAGCAAAACGCGCGCGATTTTTTTTTTTTTTTTTTTGTTTTTTAACTAAATGACGCGTTTTTTTTTTGAAAAACGACGTCGTTTTGGGCCCGTAATTGTGGACACAGGTCCAAGGCATAATTTGCCCTAAAGTTTTACTCAATTAGATCCAACTGAAATTTTATGACGAAACAATTATCAAATAAGTTGAAGAATCAAGTGACATAAAACTTGCCTGTAGGCTAAAGTTTTACTCAATAAGATTCATTACAACTATTATGATAAAAACTTAAGAAATCATGTTCCTTTCCTTAATCCGTGTGGATGGATTAAGAAATATGATATAAAGTTTACATCATAAAATTAAACTTTGTGATAGAGATGGGAATTATTTACAAATAACTATAAAGTAAATAAAATTGATTTATTTCTATTATCACTTATAAAACTACTAAACTACATTCCGATACATAATTGCCTATGGGCTAAATTATGACCGTAGTCCAGTATTTCATCCTGATTAACTATACAAATATAACGAAATTGCCTGTGAGCTAAATTCCATCATATTACATACAATTAATCACAAATGATATGTCCAAAACTGTATGTGATCAAGATAAACTGCTTAATATATAATTTTAACTGATTAAGGATGTTGTGGCTACTCCCCAACTCATTAAAATTATAAGATCACTAGACAATTATCATTGCCATCTTTATGTAATTTAAATCTTAGACAATTTTAGTAAATTAAAGATGTTGTGGCTACTCTTTAATTAATCTAAAATTGTAATCACTTGGCAAAAGACGAATTTAAAGCCTAACAAACAAATTAAACCAACACATAATAGACAATACTTAGGTATACTCCCAGGAAAGTTGGTCAAGACAAAGCTCGGTTAAATACCAACTCCTTTAGACAGAGTAGCGTCGCAAGGGGACTAGTAGCAACAAGGCTTTTAAGCCAGGGCCATAGAACTAGTATTCCTCCCCAAGAAACTTCCCTAAGTCATGCATTCTCATATTTGAAGTAAAATCGTTTGGGAGATCTATGAGATTGTAGATTCACCTACGGATAAGGCTTTAAATTGATGAACTAAATTAACGGACTAAACGTGCTTAAATTCAGGCACTACCGCAACTAAAGTTTATGCATTAGTCTAACTTAAATAGGAACTAATATAATTCCATCCTAAATTTATGCATTGCTAAAGGCATAATAAAAAAATGCATAATTTAAAAAAGAATATTATGCTTAGGACAAATATGCATAAAAATAAACATCAAACTCATATATTCCAGACAAATTGCATAACTTAAAGCAATTTACAATATGAGATTTCAAAAAAATTTTGAAATTTTAAACTGTAAACCCATGACAAAATGTTTAATGCATAAAGATCAAATTTATAAGAAATAACTGAATTTACAAATTCTAACAATATCAAACCAAAATGATATATTGTCATTTGTAAATAAAAATCTCACAAATGCTAATTGCATAATTAAACTTAATATTATGCACTTAATATGATCAAATGCATAAAACAACAGTCCAAAGAGTGAATCATACATAATTAAATATGGATAATAACATTAATCATAATTCAAAGACTAAATGAATTATGGAATAAATGTACATTAATGGCAATAGTCAGTTGCTTAAAAAAAAATTCTTATCTGAAGCATTACCACATAAACATAATTGGAAACAAATTCAGGATTCCTAAATAAACCATAATAATAATGTTATCATTAAAATATTAATGGTAATAAATAACCTTATAATCACCATTAATATTTGGTAATAACAACCAAAGTATGGTAATATACCTTCTTTAATGTTTCCATTTTTCTTAAGGAAATAAAATATGGTAATTTCAAAATTATAGCAGTCAAACTATAACTGTAGCACTAATTATTAAAAAAATAATGATAAAAAATTTAATGATGACTAACCTTAATAATGCAAACCGCATCTCCCATGATGCTAGAATTCTCCCATCTTCACCGTCAGTAACCTCAATGCAACGTCACGTAACAATAATCACCAAATAGGTAATCTTTCCAAACAT